ATTTGACGTTATTAAAAGGTGGTAACTCTTTAAGTATTCCTCTTAAAGCGACTTTCGTTTGACAGCCAAATTAGACAATTAAATTCACATCATAATTTAAATTGCTTTAACATTTTGTATTTATCTTATTACTTAATCAAATTTAACTTTTTAAAGATGTGAAAACTATTTGCAAAATTTTCGTTTTTAAATCTCTTTCGTTTGACGCCCGCATTAGAAAAGTTAATTTTAATTATAGTTTAAATTGATTTTAACTTTTTAAAAAGGTAGCAACCCTCTTCAAAAATATTTAAAAAAATAACGTATTTGGAACTTTTTTCGTTTGTCATTCATATTTTTAATTTTTTTTTTTTTTGCAAATGAATTAATTTATTCACACTTTTGAAAATAAGAACTTAAAAAACATAATATGTCGTAACCCAGGTTACAGTCTATCTATGCGCCAAATTTCATCTAAATTCGTTCAGCCACTTCAGCAAGAAATAGTTGCAAACATACTCAATCACTCACCAACAATTTTCGCTTTTATACACTGAGAAAAATCAACCAAGAATTAGTAATTATTTTGGTGTAGTTTTTTTTTTAATATTAAACTCAAAGATGCCTTTTCGAAATTTGGAAAAACCAAAACCAGAAAAAAAGCTATATTTCGCTTCTGTTGTCGTCTTAGTGTTATTCTGTTTGTCTTTTACCAAGAAGTTTTTTTCAATTAAATAAAATTAAAAAATTTTAAAAGTTTATAAGAATATATTTAAAACAATAAAAACTAAAAATTATTGAAAAGGAAAAAGAAAATTAAAAAACAAAAATAGATAAAAGAAATTTAAAAATTAAGAGAAATTAAATAAAAAAATATTTACCTTTTTAAAACAACAAAGTTTAGAAAATTTAGCAAGTTCAAAAAGCATTCTTTCTAAAACAATAAAATCAGAAAATTAAATGAAAATTAAATTTAAATTTAAATAAAAACAAAAAATAAATAAAAAGTTAAATATAAAAACCCAGTTCCATAATATTATATACTCAATCATTTTTAAGCACAAAAATAAAACCGACTTTAATTCCCATATAAAAACTTAAGAGTGTACTGTTATTTTTGTCACTATCCAATGATCGGATCTAACACAAATTAGTATGGGAAGACCTCTAAGGTACCACCGTTCCTCTAAAAAAAATATTTATAGAAATCAGTTAACGTGGTCAAAAGTTATGCGGTAACATATTAAATAATAAACATGTAAAATAATAAAAAAAAAGTCCGACGCATTGAAAAAATGTCAAATAACAAAAAAACAACAAATGCGTAAAAATTTAATCATCACAAAAGAAATTATTTTACTCTTTAAAACAAAAAAATATATCTATACATACTTATATTAAGAAAAAACCAAAATTAAACAAAAAAATCCAGGAAATTAAATGGAATTGAAAACAAAAATATTTGTTTTTGTTTAAAACGATAAAGTCTTGAAGTTAAATTAAAAACAAATTTTTCCTAACACTCCCCCAAGACATATGTATAAGTAGCTAGCTTTGAGTTTTTTGAAATTACCCTAACGTGGGTGGAACGCGTGGTTTTTGTACGATTTCAAAAATTTTCAAGGCGGTGGTTTAAGGGGCTAAGTTTTCATTGACTAAAGTATCGATTTGTTTGAAAATAAATGTACTTTTAGACAAATTCTACATATTTGGCAACTCTCATAGAAACTCTATAAATTAGCGATAGTCAAATTTTAAACAATTAAGAAAAATATGGGATTTTCAAATATTACCCGATGAAATCTCCTAGCAAACTAAGTCTAACAATATATTGTTATACATTATTTTAAAGATCTATAAACCACTTTTTCAAAAGATGTCCGATTTTCACAATCGGACGAAGAAAGACAAGTTGTTAATAGATAAGTGGATCAATTACGAAAATAACGGTTTTTTTCTTTTTAATAAAAAAAACATGGTTGGTTCAAGAACTATAAGAAACCTAAAGCAAGTTTTGTTTCTGGTGAATTTCGTGTTTTTTTTTTAGTAAAAATAGCCCATATTTCATTTTCAAAAATGAAAGAATCATTAATATTGGGGTCCTAATATATATGGTCAAGACTGTATGTACATATGTTTAAGTTTGAATCAAACATGATATGGCTTACTTATATTTTCAGTGTACTTCAACTTTGTAGACATTAAAAAAGTAGAATTGTACAACTTTAATCAGCGCATAATTGACGACGCAGCCAGTACGCTAATTCGCTTCTCCAGTAAACCATCAATAAATTAGATGTAGCCGACGCTGCCGCAAATTAGCAAATTGCCAAATGGAACACAACTCGATGCTCGATTTGCCATAGTTGCGCTTCAAGAAATTTACAAGCGTCTATGCATAAATGCGTTTGCTGGCATGTGCATACATACATACATATGTAAATATATATATACCTACATGCATATGCTTATATAAACGCTTATTAAAT